TCCTGCCATCCATCTCCACCCTCTGACAAACAGAGTCTAGGGACACCATTCCTTACCCGTCATGGCTAATAGCCATTAATGGACTTAATCTCCATGAATTTATCCAGTTCTCTTTTAAACGCTGTTACAGTCCTAGCCTTCACAACCTCCTCAAGTAAGGAGTTCCACAAGTTGACTGTGCGCTGTGTGAAGAAGAACTTCCTTTTATTTGTTTTAAACCTGCTGCCTATTAATTTCATTTGGTGACCCCTAGTTCTTGTATTATCTCCCTGTATCTTCTCCCTTCTTTCCTCTTTTCTCCATCCCTCCTTTTCCTTCTTCCCCGTTGCAGGCAACATTCATAAACTATAAAGAGTTGTACATCCAGAGAAAAATACTTCTTATCACCATTGAATTTCATGGGACAAAGAGAGACTGTGGGAGTAACATAGTAGGGGAAATGGTCAATATGGGTGCTGAAAAATAGAGATGGCTGACAGACTTTGGATGCATTTTCTCCTAGTTCTCATACTTGCCATCCTGTCCCAACCCCTATCACTTTGATTACTCCCTGTTAATTTCACTTTGCTGCCAGTCCTTTCCTCTTCTTTCCCCCTTTTTCTGCATAGCTCTGGCATTGGAAATGAGATACTCAAACTGCAGTGATTCAGGAAGGGCTTGCTGCTATGTGACTTCATCTAAGACAGGTTGCCAAAGCCTTCAGCTTTGCTCTGCGTGGGTTTGATGTGCTAATGTGGGCATCACAGAAAGTGTTGCAGCCAGGGCTGTCAAAGTCATCCCAAACCCTTTTCTCTCTTCTCATGAGTCCCCAGAGGTCTCTCCAGCCTATGTCCTGTTGCTTCTGCCCCTCTCCTGACCTTCAAAGACAACAACTCCCCCTGCAGAGGTCCCAGGACTTGCACGTGTCAGATGTCTGGAAGAGCTGAACAACATCTGGATTCCTGTGTACTGTGTTATAACCAGTGTGCAAACAGGAATCCTGGTATGATGTGTCCTTTATGCTGTTTATAACACAGCAGCGTATATCAAAGGGCCAGTTCTGTAATCATATATAGATTCTGTAAATATTTAAAGGGATGGTGTGAGGTCAATCTTGCTCCAAAACTTTGGTTTTGTAAAAATAAAAGTAATGATTTAAGAAAAAAATTCAGTGGAAACAATGAGCTTCATTCTGCAGGCTCAGAGTCCTTTTAACGCATATGAGGAAGGACAGCTTGTATGACTGTGTAAGTAAAGGATGCAGGACTGGATCCAGGGATTTTTGCAAAGAAGTAAATATGCCCTTTCCGGTTTGCAATACAAATCTGGCACTATTAGGCTAATGCATGAGATCCTGACAGTAAAATGGTTTAGAAACTGACAAACTCAAAGGCAACTAAGTAAGTGCAAGAAGTGACAACAATAAATAAAGTGAAAAATTAATGAGAATTGTAAAATCATTTCAGTTTTAATAATCTCAGGTGTTTGTACTAGGTTCAAGGATTTTTAAGTGAAAAACCATCAGAAAACACTGCTCAAGGGCCCAGCAAAACTCTGTGGCTCAATGGAGGTAGCTTTGTAACAACTGGTAGAGCAGAACTGTACTCAGTATATTTGGCAACAGTATGGCCTGTTCTCTCCAAACAGGAGGTTAGCTAATAATGATGGTGACTGGAACAGGTTTCACGCTATAGTTTTTCACTCTGACAGTGACCTTTTAAAGCCTATTCTCATTCCTTTGTTCTCTCTTCATCCTAGGATTGCCTAGAAAAGGCAGGACCCCGGCCCCAACTAACAGATTACAGTGTCTTGGCTGATTACCTGCAAAGAGAAAGAAAAGAAGAGTCCTCAGTCATGGTATCTAGGAACAATTCTGATATATCCAGAAAAGTGTTCAGTCTTTATAAAGCAACCTCAATTGTAATATCGGAGGAGTCAATTTCTTTGAGTACTTTAAAAAACTGCCTTCTGGCTGCTGCAGGCAAATCCTTTAACTACATCTACCAGATGAGAGTCTGTCCTAAAAACTTGTCACTTAAGTCAAATTAATTTCTTAAAATAGTGAAAAATCATCATGGATAGTGAGAGTCTCGGTGGGGAGATGGACTGATAAATTACCTATCCTTTTTATCAAGGGTTCAAATCCTGGATCAGGCATTAGGTGCCCAAACCACAACAAAACCCTGTCATGTCAATACCTGTTCAAGAGAAGGGGAGTCAAAGGGGCGATAGGCAAGTGGGGTGCCACAGATCAGGAATGAGGTGCAATGTTTAGCACAGCTCTGTGGGGAAGTTGCAGTTTACCACTGATGAATCCATCCTCCTTCTTAGAGCTTGTCTAGATCAGGGGAACATTCAGATAGTTACACCAATGTAAACCCTCTACTGTGCAAAAGAGGGCTTGCAGTGGTCTGATTTACTCTGGTAACTTACCAGGATAAATTGCACGGATATTAGCCCCATTTTATGCCAGTACATCTCATCTATACTGGGCATTTATACCAGTGTAACTACATCACTGTAAGATACCCCAGTATGGACAGAGCCTTAATCCTGCATGTCCATGAGCAATAAATAGCAACAATTTGTATAAAAAAATAATTCCATACATTTTTCCAGCCTCTTCAAGCACGTAGAACACTTACGCTAATGGTAGAATTAACCAATCTTCTGCGAAAAACATTGTAAACAAGTCTTTTTAAAATAAATCTTCAGGGTAATTTTGTATGCACACGACAGACACATATATGCCCAACATAAAGGTGAAACAATAAGACATATATACAAAGAGAGAAGTGTATAAATACAGATCTAAACCAACATCAGCTGAAATAAGCCCTTACTTACACCAATTGGCTTCAATGACTCTGCACTGGTGTAACGGAGGATAGAATTTGTTGAAAGAGAGCAACACGTCAGCCAATCAGAATTCATTGAACTTCTCTTCACTTCTCAACTCCTTTTGCCATTTACCTTGCGTCGGAGTTGTTTACCATTCTTAGCCACTCCTTCTGGTCCAGGGAACGTAGGACTTGGAGTTCCAGTCCCTTTCTCTTCAAATTTTTTCTTGACAGTCTTTCCATTGTATCCTTTGTCTTTCATATCCTTTCTCACTGTCCTCTTCCTCCCAGGATTTCTTTGCTGGTCTTTCTTCTTCCATTCTTATCACATGTCCAACCCACCTCAGTGCACTCTCCATGCTATCTATGAGGGTATGTTTACACTGCAATAAAACACTTGTGGCATGGCCACAGCTGGCCTGGGTCAGCTGAGTTAGGTTCATAGGCTCAGAGTGGAGTAGAGGGTCTGAGATCACATGTGGGGAGAAGGTCTCAGAGCCAGGGCTCCAGCCCAAGCTCGAATACCTATATTGCTATTTTTAACCCTGCGAGCCCAGGTCAGTTGACTTGGTTTCTGAGACTTGGTGCCATGGGATTTTTATCACAGCGTAGACATACCTTAAGTGTTCCAGGTTCATATTTGCTTAATTTCTTCCAGGTACACTCTGTGTGCCCTCTGCTAGCCTGCCATTCTCCTCAGTATATTACTTTCAACTGTATCTTCTTTGCTTACATCTCTGTAAGACCCACTGTTCCCAAACCATAGAGCAGGCAGGGACAAGCACATGCAGCATCCACTTTTCTTTTCAATTTGTTACTTAATTGCTTGCTTTAATTACATCAGCTAATCAGAACTGATATACAATACCTTAAAAAATATTTAAAAAAAACAAGAAAAAATTACAGTACAGAACTCCCCGACCACCCTCAATGTGTGTGTGACACATTAGTGTTGCCAACGCTCCCAAATGTATTTATAATTCTGCCCTGCATACCCCACTCCCATTAGTTCTTCCCTCCCAGCTCCCACCCCGTTCAGCCCCTTTAGTTCAGCTCCTCATCAACCCCCACCCATCACTTCAGCCCCCTCAGTCACTCCCCAATTTAGCCCAATTTCACCCCCCATTTAGCCTTCCCCCCCCCCCAGCCTCACCTCTGCTCCTTCTTTGCCCTCCTTCCCTAGGCCTGGGGGACTGCAGCAGTGTTCCTTCTTCACCTTCCAGGATGGGGGGAGGGTAGGTGGGGTTGCCACCACTGGGATACCAAAAAAAACAACCAAACAAACAAACCAAGCCAACAGGAATGATCCCAATTCCTGAGCCACTGGAGCTGCACAGCTGGCAGCATGTGCTGAGCACCCTTATGGAATGCCTGGGACAGAAACCTCAGCAAAGGGACAATACGACAGCACCAGCTCCAGAGTCCCTTTCCCAGGCCAGGAGCTGCAGGACTGAAAGGAGAGGGAGAAAGGAACAGAGGCGCTGTCCCCTCACTCACAGGAAGGGTGTGGGAGCTGCCCCCATCCCCTCCTATAAAAATGGTGTCAGGAGCAGGGGTGGGAAAGAGCTCTGCTTACTTCCTGCAGCAGCTCTGGCTGGCTGATCTTTCCCATTAGGCACAATAGAGGGGCGCTCCCTCAGGCAGAGGGGCTCCAGCTCAGACTCATATCGAAATCCCCACAGCTGGTAACACTGATAAATAGATTCAGCCATCTCAATCTGAAGCTTCTTTTCACAGAATAATGGGTGGAATCCTGGACCCAATGGCAACGCTCCCAGTGACTCCAGTAGAGCCAGGACTTCACCCAGTGAGGATGAAGATCCACATTGTGATACCCACAGAACATTTTACCTGTTCGATTTAACACATTTGTACAGTATTCAGAATACACCATGTTGATGAGTGTGGGATGATTAGATTAGATAAAATAGATCTCTATTCTTTAAAACGCATAATTATCACCCATGATTTAGTCACATAAATTATTGTACCTGTTTAATTGTTTAAAAAAATGGAGGGTAATTAGAAAATTTAACAATGCTGACAGCAGATGTGTTTCTTTACTTTAGGTGTCTGCTTATTAAAAAAAAAAAAACCACACACAACAAGTATGTCAGAGGCACAAAGATGACAACAGAAAAGGTTCCTTAATTCACAGATGACTGCACCTTTCCAAAAACATTAAAATGGAAAAGCTTTATTGATTTAATCACCCATACAAGCGAAACAACGTAATGATGATACTTAGTGCCAAATTGGTCTTTTGGGACCTTTTCCATGTAAATAATACAAATCAAACCTTGAGGTTCAGTGCAGATATGATCTGACAAGTGAGCCAAGCTTTTCACTTTACTTTGATCCAGCTCCAAAAACATACCCAAGGTAAAATTGTGTTTAACCATTTTCCATTTCAATTTTAAATTTTAGACATTTATCATATGGGAAACTTGCCTATAGTGCTTAAAAAACAAGTTGACTAAACTGACTCATAGCCTTTAACATGAAAATATTCCTATGTTTGCTATTAAGACTGAAAAACATAATCTGCAATATGCCATCTGATGAGATTCTGCATTATCTGATTGTTTTTAATGGTGTGTCCTAGATTTGTACAACCTGACTCAGAATCTTGAAATATTTCTAGCACTGTTCCCCTTCTCTTAGATTTAATTGTTTGAACCTATAGTTCTGAAGATAGCAAAGTGGATAGGCCTTTGTTTTCTAAAGGACTTTCCAACTTTACCACATGCTTCCTTTCTACAAATAGCCAGAATATACTCTGCAAACTGCAGTGAATTGCTTTAGAAGAAAAACTCTGGATGTATTAATTTTATTTTGATTTGTGGACTCCTTTGGTTATTTTGTTATTATTGTCATGCTTAGGTGTTAATTTTAATTTTCACATTTGACTGTAAAAATAAAAGTCTCTTTCCTTAGACCCCATTTTAATAACAGAGTGAAGGTTCAGCAACTTGAAATCTATACAAATAAAAGAAAAAAATCCTGGCCAATGCTTTCAGAATTGGATGCCTAAATATGGATATAGTAACCTAGCTTTAGGCACCCAATTTTTTTTTTAAAAATTGGCTCTTGTGAATAATATAAATCTTGGGTATTTTTTTAAACTTCCATAATTACTAACTGGTGTATTTAGGATTAAAAAGGCTTTTCTCTTCCTCTCCCCCCCTCCCCCTTTTTGTTGTTGTATGTGTGGGTCAAGGTTAATGAAAATAAGATAGATCTTTTATTTTGGGTCTTAAATATAATATTATGTGCCTACCAGAGATATAGGATAAAATATTTGCTCTGCTTGAAGATTATGTGATATTTGTATTCTAAGCCTCACCACAGTGGGTTTCTTTAAATAGAAGCTATACTTTACTCCTAAATTGCTTAAGGCAAAGGAAGCAGAGATGATGTTTTTATGAATGTTTAAATGCAAATGGAACTGAGAGTGAATGCTATGCTAGCTAACATCAAAGGCTCACCAAAATCTCTGCATTAATGAGGCTCTTTGTTTCCCGGATCACAGATTACAACAGGTTTCCAACTCATTGCCAAGGTTTTATCTCCATTTGGGAGGGCTGTAAATCTGACGATTTTTTTTCAGATGCAAAACAAGAGGATCATCTGAAAGAAAAGAAAATTTAAAGTAGCAAATATTTCATTCAAATTATTCCTCACAATTGATTGCAGCTTTTGATTCTTTTAAAATATAATCTGAAAAAGAAAGGAAATTTACAAATGGATTCGCCTAAACTGTAGCACTTTCATTAATTTGGTTTGACTAGCTGAGTAAGGAGAGGTATAAGCAATATCATGTATAGTATCCTGTCTATTTCACATATCATCTAGTTTTCCCCATAAAAAAGTAGCAAAAAAAAAAACCTGGTCAGTGTTTTTTAAAAATTAAATATATTGATTACTTTTTAAAGTGGCACCAAATAATTATTCTCACCCCAAAAAGCAATAAAAAGCCACACACAGCAATAAGCTTCTTAATTAACAGTCAAAATAGGGACCCAGATTTTCAGCTCCTTCAAGTGTTGAATGCGACAAATATGTGCTATATTGGGTCATAAAGACCAATTTACATGGCGTCATTACAACCTGTAGAAAAACTCTCCGAAACTCCGGGCTATCTTATGCAATCTTAATTAAGGAAAACAAACAGCGGTATGTTTTTCTAAGCTACCAGAGACAAGCACCGGACCTGTTGTATGTGATCAGCCGAGATGGGGAGTTTCCTTTCCATGGGAACTGTGGGGTTGTTTTTTTTTTTTCCCTCTTCTCTCCAAACTGACGCCAGAACAGACGTGTCTAGTGTCTTTGGAAATTGGCTGCGAAGATGTTTAATTTCAGGTTTCCGGACCCTCCGGGCAAGTTAGGAAAACTAATAATTTTCTGAAATCCGACGTCACGTCTATGTTCCTAACGAGATCGGGGAGGGGGAGGCGGGTGTTTGCAAGACTTGCAAACGAGAATGCCCCTGCCCAGGACCCAGCCAGGACTGGACACCGGGGCTGGGCAGAGGGGACGTGGAGGCTGAGATGTCCCCTTCAAGGATATGCTCAACCCACTGCCACGCTCCCTCGAGGTTTGCACGTTGCCTCGGCCCTGGGCGCGCTGGCAGAGAACCGACGACGCACGGGCTCGGTCAAAGCTAAAGAAATAAAAAATAAAAATCAATCCCCACAGCAAAACGTCTGGGCTGGGCCCGATCCTGCTTCCCCGGTGTAAGTCAGGGGCGTCTCCCATTGGCTCCAGGAGCGGGTCCCCGGGCAGCCACACGCCCCAGCGAGCTGGGTAGCGCCAGGGCCGGCTCGGGGAGAGGCTGAAATTTAACATTTCAGCAACTGGTGCCTGGTTAGTCCACAAATAACATTAAAATCTCGCTGTGGAAACCCCCCGGGGAGACCTCCCCGAGCCCAGCGCGGGCCCCGCACAGGCGCTGGGGCAGAGACGGGCTGTGCCCCCGGGGCGCCTGGCGGCTCTGCGGTGGGGCATGTAGCGGTGCCCAGGCTCCCCCCCAGCCGGGCTCCAGCTCGCTCCGCGGGGACGCGCCTGGGCGTGCAGCGAGCGAGCGCGGGCCCTTTAAGACAGGCGCGCGGGGCTGTGTGTGTGCGCGCGAGAGAGAGAGAGCCACCCAACCCCTCCCCTGCGCTGTCAATCAGCCGGCGGCTGCTTTGATGTCTCCAGCCCTTGGCTGCTGGAGCTCCTCCGTCTCGCTCGCACACACCGCTCGGCGCCGGGCGCTCCAGAGCCGTGTCTCTCCCGGCCAGAGCCTCGGGCTTGCACCACCCCAGGCTGCTACTTCGCTGAACTTTCCGGGGGCTGGGGGGGCGGGAGGGGGGTGCTGCTGGCCCCAGGATCTTGCTGCTGCTGCTGCTGCTTCATCCTCCTCCAGGCTGCAGCATTGCAACCCCCCTGCCCCCGCCCCTTCCCCCCCAAAAAGGGTTTGATCTTCGGGGGGTGGGGGGAGAGCGGCTGCAGCCGGCGAAGTTCCCGTGTGGCTCGGAAGGGGCGAGGCGGGGACGGGGGGTGGGGACCATGCCCCAGCTCAGCAGCGGCGGAGGGGATGACCTGGGGGCCAATGACGAGATGATCGCCTTTAAGGACGAAGGGGAGCAAGAGGAGAAGATCCAGGAAAACGCCTTCACCGAGCGCGATCTGGCCGACCTCAAATCCTCGCTGGTGAACGAGTCGGAGAGCAACAGTAGCCCCGCTGCCGCGGCGGCCGATCCGGAGGTGAGAGCCCGCGGCCAGCCCCCAGCCCGCACAAAGGGCTTTGCCTCCTTCCAGCCGATTTCTTTCTGGTTTATTGCAATGAATAAAACTTTCTCCTCCCCCCCCCCCTCCGGCCCCTGCTGTGCTTTTCTCTCCCTCCCTCCCCCACAGGCGATCAGGCGTGTGCAAGATCCACAAAGGGTTTATCAGGAGAAACTCCCGGATCACATGGAAGATGGTTAGTTTCATAAACCATTCATTTCTCCTGCCCTTCCTCTTTCTGTACATCCCCCCTCCCCAACCACTTGGGTGATGCGCTGAGTCCTGGGGCGGGGGGGGGAGAGAGAAGAGAAACTTCGGTTTCTTTCTATAAATCAGAGCAGACAAAAAAAAATCAGGGAGGAACTTTGATTCGCCAGATGAAGAAGCCCTTGCGTGCTTGATACATTGGATTGCCACAACACAAGGGGGTTTAGTCACTCCCTTGACATTTAATGTGTAAACAATCCTCCCCTTTCTCACAGTGTCTGAAATATTATTGATCTGCTCATCTCTTGGTGGGGTCCTGGGAGGCAAGTTTTGCAAAGCGGCGGTGATGCAGGGTGGATGGTCCAGGAATACTGCTGCTGTGTGAAGTGTGCTTCACCCGAAAGGGGAAAAGGCTTGAGCACGAGCTTTTATTTGGCTTTGTTACTAAAGCCAAGTCAGAGCTGTTGATGGGGGTGGGCTAGTCCCACAGATAAAAAATACAGTCCGTTTATAAGTCCTAAGGGCAAACATGAAATAATTCTACTAGTAGAGAAGGCACCAAAAATATATAGGATGCACGGAATGTTCTGTTTGCAAACTACAAGCACCTCGTACAGGCAGAGGAATGACCTGTTGCAGGGCAAGTCCTAATGAAGTACTTTAATTTTAACAGGTATAAAGCATCAGGACACGGGGATGTACAAAGGATCTGCTTATTCTGGCTACCCTTTTCTAATGCTCTCAGACCCTTATCTGCCAAATGGATCTATGTCACCTTTGGTGAGTTCATCATGTTTTCGAGAAGTTTTTAACCTTTCACAGTTGAAGTATATTGCTGTCTGCCATGCAATCACTTGATGCCAGTGTTTTTACTGACCTGATGTAGCATTATTTCTAAAATGCCTAGGACGGTGGCCTAAAGAAATGACAGGAAAAAGATCAGAGAGGATAAATGATGCTCGGCCGTAGGACAGTGGTGTAGTTCTGAATTATCCAGAGCGGTTTCTTTTCAGATCACCTCAGCTTCTAGTTTCATCTCCAGTGTTTCAACAAAAAGAGTTACCTCCAGAATGCCCCCTTCATTTTTGCTTAAATATTAGATGATAATTTGTGATGTATGTGTTTAAGGATCTAGCCCCCAGATCAACTTCCCCTTGTAAAATGGCTTGCTTTGCACTCCCCCCCCCCCCCCATGAAAGGGTTCAGTGGTGGATGATCTCCATACTGATGTACGTTTTACCATATTTAATTAATTGTAGTTGGTCCTACACAAAGGTCTAATGTGACTAGTAGGCAATGTTTGTTCCAATCTTTATTTTACAGAAGTTTTGCAAAGAAATATCAAGTAAGTTCTAGTAATTAGATACACTTCAATACTTACAGTAAGTTGTGCTAAATGAATTCTTTGATATAGTGTGCTATTTAGGGAGGGGTTTTAGCAGAAAATCCCTATCCATAGCTATCTCTAGCAGAGTTTCCAACAGAAATTGCAACTAACAAACACAAAGGGGCAAATTCTGCCGTCCTTAGCATTGCTGTAAATCTGGAATGATTGCATGGGTTTCAACTATTATTCTGGACGTGGAGGAGTTGTGTAAATGAGAACAGAATATGGTTGTCATCTTTAGTTTTGTTCTTACTGCTACAAGATTTTGAAGAATACATTTTGACCTCCTTAATGTAAACCCGAGGTTTATTGAAATTCTACTAAACTTAGTAGAATTTCTGTGCACTGGAAAAGTAAGAATACAAAAACCGCTTGCACAGGGTAGTGGTGGTGGCTAGTTATTTTTGAAATCTACTTGTGTCTGTAGTGCAGTTACACTTTACCGGGCAGATCTTCAGCTGGTGGAGTTGTTGTAATTCCACCAAAGTCAGCATACAGCAGCTGAGGACCTGCCTCTATGTTTTTATAATTTTCTTCATTGTACAAAAATAAATGATACATTTGCCAGGCAGTGCCAATATGGAGCATTGTATATGCATCTCGTCGCTTGCTTCCTATCCCCCTACCCATTACTCCAGGTTCCTGTTAATCCTCTCATTTCTCTAACAGATAATGCTCTTCTTTCACTATCACATTTTGAAACGTGATACTAAAGCTGTTTTTTACAATGGCATTAATTTGTGCTCCCTGGTGCAGAACTTGGATGAGCTGTCACTTGTGTTGGCACAGGAGCTATTCAGATGCTTCAGAAGTCTGTGAATATTTATATCAATCTTAACCCTTTGCAGATCTTATTCTATTGGTTAAAACTGTGGCAGCCTATTTATTAGCAGTGTGGTTAAGAAATACGCTTTTGGTTAGTGAACCAGTTAAGGAACCTCCCACCACCGCTAATGTAAAAAAGTACAGGTTTACAGTTGGAGGAAGACAGAGTAAAACAAACAGTACAGAAATCAAGAGAGTGAAAAATGACAAGCTGAGCGGGCATGATTCAAAGCCCATTACAATCAATGGAAATCTTTTAAATCAAGCCATACAGATTGTGCAATGCCTTAAGTTTGGTGGATCGAAATGGTGATTTAATTTTCTATCTCAAAATCTGCAATCTATTTAAGAAGTATGGGAAGAGTTCTTCCTTAAGTCAAAGAGCAGTTGCTAGTCTTCCTTTAAGTGTAAAGAAGGTGCAATACGTATAATACAAAATACGTATACAAAAGTTAACCTAGTAAGTACTTTTACTACTATATTTGTGATTATATTAATACTGTCCATGTTCTATAAGAAGTAGGTCTTGATCTGATGGTTATTCCCACTGACTGTGTGATCAGTATTATACTGAAGATTTGGGATACTATGCTTGTCCTCAAAGAAAAATATTGTGTTTTTAATTAAAATTCTGGCAGGTTAAGGAAATGGAGTTTGTTTTCTTTTAATGTGTGAAGAATGGGGTTGTATATCACTATAGTGCATCTACTTGGTAGTGAAGTGCTTTCTCTAGCTGGGGTTTCCTGTGAACATTTGTGGGTGGCTGGGATGAATTTTGTAATCTTCCCCGCCCTCTCCCCTGCCCACCCCACCCCCGAAAAGAGAGAATGAGCCAGGCAGTGCTTTTTCAAACCATCAGAGGTTTTTTTCATTAAACCATTGAAAAAAATATACCTCAGGCATATCAAAGATCCTGGAAAGATCCAAGAGCATTCAGAATTAAGGCTGAAAGTTGAACTCCCGCACTGTAGTGTGTTATAAAATTACATATTGTCTGGAGATTCCTGCTTTACTTAGACATGGTGTTGTGAATTAAGGCTGGAGTTAGTTTGGAGTGTCTCTACTTTTGTGAAGAAGTCACAACTTTAGCATAACTGTGGTAACGTTAATTTTTTAAAATTTATTTTCACACTAGCCCCAGTTGTGTTTCAGTTTCCTTTAGGGCTCAGTCGTAGTTTGCTAACTGAAGTAATAGACAGGAGTGCTTGAATTGATTTCTTGTTAAGACTTCATATAGCATAGTAGGTTTCATATATACATATACATTTTATTGAAATGCACCCAATCCTGATTTTTATGTGCATCTGTACCTTTCTTGAACCATGAATTAGAAGTGATTTGGTGCTTGAGTTCATCATCAGTAGAATGCTCCGGTTGATGGGTTTTGCTCTCACTTTACAGCGAGATGGTGGCTAAAGGCCATAGGTGCTGGAACTAGGGATGTTGCCACACTCTCTGGTTTGAAGTAATTTCCATCATATATTGGGTTTACAGTTTGGTTCAATGGCTCTCAGCACCCCCATTATACAAATTGCTCCAGCACCCCTGCTAAAGACCTCATTTTAGCGCCCTGTGGTCAGCTATTTGGCACTCTGGCCAAATTCAGGTTGCCCATGCAATAGACCGACAGGGCTCTTCTAATGTGATTATGATCGATCATATTGATACCTGTTTGAGCATGCTGTGCACAGATTGTGGATGTATTAGGTCACAAGGAGTTCTGGACTAGCATTGTCAATATTGGTGCTGCATATGTGTATCCAGGGACTAATCCCGCACTCCATCCTCTGAGAAAACTCTAGCTTTTCCCAGAACAGAAGGTGTAGACTCTGTCAGTTACAAATCTGCATGAAACTTCCAATGAATGAATATGAATGTGTTCAGAAAGTATTTTTCCAAATGAAACATCAAATCAAAAAAGTATATCCTTTTTTTAAATGGTACAAATGACTTTTAAAGCGAATTAAGGTGCGTCCTTAGTAGTTACATCTGTCTTTTAGGTAGTTACAAACAGTAGAGGTCAAACATGTTAAAACTTTGCTCAGATTAAAATCTTCTTCTTGCTCTGGTTGTATAATTGAGTTTAGGCCTGAGGGAGTTTTCTGAACATTGTTACATCTTGTAGCGCATGGTAGTTAAAGGTTTTCAGAAGCACTGATAAGTTTCCTGCATTTTGTATATGGGAATATAAAATAAGGAAATTAACTGTGTGGTAGTGGAAGTGCGTAGGGGCCAACCTTGCACTTCTAAAGTCAGTGACAGAATTCCCAGTGACTTTAACTGGGCAGGATCAGACCATCTACTCCTGGGGCCAAATTTTTCCATCATTTTCCATGCAACACAGTTGGATTTGGTGGGCTTGTAAGGTAATTTAGGGAATAATTAATGCTTTTCAAATACAAGGCTAAGACTCTGGAGTGGCTTTCCCATTCTTTGGACTCCAGCAAACTGAGGCTTCAGTGTCCCCAGTTATTTGGAAAACAAACACCCTACAGAATCTCTTTACAAGTACTTAAGAATAGATCTTCAAACCAAAGCTCAAATTGGAAGGGGGAAAGTAGAAGTACTATCCTAAGCTTCACCCATTTGAGATACCACAGTGAGATGCCATTGACAGAAGATTGCATGGATTTTCAAAATCTAATACCCTATAACTCTGTGGGGCTCCTCAGATTTGGTTCTTTCTCAGTGGAGTTTGGATACAACCTTGGGCAAGGCTGGATTAAGGCATAGCCACACAAGGCATATGCCTAGAGCCCCAGTTCTCAGGAGTCATGTAATCATATCAGAATCTGTTTGAACTAAAAGAGAATCTCCATTAGCTGTTAGCAGTATGACATCTATGGCACACGGCGAACCAGTTCAGTTTCCATTCAGTAGAAGGCAGTGCTACACAAACTCTAACCGCTTCCTTAGAATACATTAGCATGTACTTAGTATAAAAAAGAAGTCCATCCTCCTTAAAGCAAACAAGACATACTAAAGAACCTCCCCAGAATTATCCTCTATAGCCCATTTCACCTGGGAGGAGTCCAGAGTTTTCTAGACAAGCCAGTCAGTTTTGTGTCTCCTCCATTACTAGTACAAGACAGGGCTAAATTCTATTCTAGCGCCTTTCCTTCAGAGATGCAAAGTTGCCTTCTCAGTGTCTGAAAATCGTGTCCTGTTCCTGGCAAGTTCCCTCCACTTGCTGTGCCAAAGTATCACATCGCAAAATATTGATCCCTAACTCTCCAGAATATGAACAGAAAAGAAGTATTACAAGAAGTGGCCAACAAATAATGTGTAAATGTAGTTCAGTGAGCTACTCAAATATACTTTAAATCTGGAACTTTGGGTTCACATTCCCATTGGTGCAAATATTGTAATGGTTTGAGATTTAAAAAATGTTAGGGGCAGATTCTGGTCCTATTGCAATCAATGGCAAAACTCTTCTTGGGCTCAGTGTAATCATAATGTGTCACTATCTATCTCTTTAGATGCTCAGGGCCATATAAATACCTGATTAGATAGATTGGCTCAGACTAGCAGCTGCAAAGGAAAAGTAGCTCCGTGCCTTACCACTAGT